TGCTCTAACTAGTTTTATAATAAGAAAAAAAACAACCAGTTTAATAGTGAAATTTAAACATAAAACTATATAATTTTTGGTGTAGAAATTTTCCTTTTGGACATACATGATATTCTTMAAATTAAAAATGTTAAGTATTCAAAGTTTTTGTATCTTTAGTTACTACTAAAAATTCAACTATTGTTTTTTTATCATGAGCTGGGATATTTAATACCCAATGTCAATATATAGTGTACATCAGTGGTTCCCAAACTTTTTTGGGCTCTCTGCGTCTTCTTTTAAAATAAGGGAATAACATGTTACCCCTCATAAAAATAAAWATTCAGAACAGTTTGTAATTTATATTATGAAAATATTTATTTAATGGAATGAATGATAACATTATATGGCAGCTCCKGTAAAGACTCCATGGTGCACAGTTTGGGAACTGCTGGTGTTCATGTTTCATTAAATTCTTCAAACGTATTTTGTGTGATTATCAACTTGAGAGTTGAGGTTTTGGTGAGGTGTAAATGTGTTGGGGTAATCATTTGACCCTCATTATATATATTTCAGAGGATAGACTTTTGCATATGTTATTAAWTTTTTAATTGTTGTAGATATATTAATCATTTTAGAATTCATGTACTACTTTAGTTTTAACTTAATGTATCCWGGAGGTTGGTCATCGTCTCAAACTATTACAAATTTTTGCTGTAAAATCCGAATCCTTGATAATTAATATGAAGTTAACATAGGTTGCAAATAAATGTATGGCGTTCCACAAACGATATATTATATTGTACAACTCAATAAAAAATTATAATATTTATAATGAGCAAGAATAGCAAATAAAAYAAAAAACAAAAGTTATACATAAAACCGTTACACTTGTGAATAGGGATTAAGTGTTGATTAAATTAATGATTGGGTTGGCATAAGTTTAGGTGCCGATTACAATTAGTTCTAATAAATGAAAAATAAAGACAAATACATTACTGTCATGGTTCTATAATAATGTATTATATCTAAAATGTCTTGACTATCAATTCCTTAGTTAAGACACCAATACAGAATTACTGCACTTGATAAAGACTACACACAATCTTCAGTTTCTTTACAGAGGTTGGGTTAGACATTATTTATAGGAAAATTGAATAAAA